GAATGTAAAAGGTAATTGATTTACTTGCCTGTTTAATAGGGAGCATCTCATTTTCTAATCTTGAAAATAGTATTCAGTTGTGGGGAAAATGGTAGCTAGAACAAACTCAGAATGATTTAGGGCAGAGGGGGCATCTGTAGAACTAGTCCAGCTGCTTGCTGGGACTTGAGTGAACTTGAAGAGCCTTTCTCAACTGAGCTCTGCAGATCTGCATGGATGGAGATTCAATTCCCTTTCCTAATCCTGTGCTTAACCACCTTCTCTGTGAACTTCTTTTTGCTTGTGTCCAGTCACAGTGTCCCTTCCTGCACCTTCTGACTTTAGTTTTGTCCTTTCACTTTGTACTTCTGAGATGCCAGGTCAGGCCTCCCCTTCTCTGCAGTTCCTGTTGGGTTGTGGGTGACTACAGTTAGTGCATTACAGCTTTCTCTCTGGGTGAGCAAACCTAGTTCTCCCAGCTGCTCCTCTGTCAGGTACTGCAGTCCCAGAAGACCCTTCACTGAATGTGATCTGGTTACTTGAGATCTGCATCCAGAGAGGCCCAAAACTAGGCACAGCATTGCAGACGTGAGCTTGCTAGTGCCTAATGGAGAGAGGTAGTTGCTTCTCCATGGCTGCTAAGCAGCCCTTTGGACGCTTAGGTTTATCACTTGAAGGATGCACTGCATATTATTTATAATCCAAGAAAAGGCAGAATAATTTTCTCCTAGTATCTTAGTTTTTAAATCAAGTGAGTGGTGGCATTAGAGCTGATCAGATGTGATTTTGATAACATTCTTACATTGTTTTGGGTGATTTGTCTAATGAGACAACAATGGGCAATATCTGAGAAAGAGACCCAAAGAGAACAGGGTCAGTAAATACTGTATTAACAGTTTGTGGTCAAACCTGTGGGTTAGGTTGAGACCACCAAATCTTAACTTTCTTGCTAAAGCCTGAACTGAATTGTTTCACTGTCTTACAACTAGTTTTTAGGATTTCTCACTGTTCTCAAGGTCATTTGTCTGCTTGCACGGTGCTGTGGAAAATAATGGGATTTGGGGAGAAATTACTATTGATTTTTTTTTTTTATAGTTGTTTGCAGTGAGTAATAACATTGCTGCTTTTTTCTCCTCCCACTTCTTTGATTCTCATTTCCAGTTCCCTAATATTTTTTGTGCAGAAAGCTGTTTCTAGTCAATACCTTAATCCAGATCAGTAACGAAATGAAGTTGTATTTGGTTAAATGTCATTCTTTATATTTTAAGAAATTGATTTAATTTTAAGGCATGTGGCAGAATAGTTTCTGGTCAATATCACTGTTTATTTAAAAACATAATCTGTCATGGGATGCTTTTGGCTTTGTCTCAAGTAACAAAAAGGTGAAATATAGAATTGAAAAAATGTTTCTTAATAATCTAACTGTTGTTGCTTTCCCTCCCCCTCTGATCAGTAATCCCAGCTCTAGGTTCCTTTCATCCTTCTCCTGCCAGCATAGCATACCTTCTTAAATGTCACTGCCTTAACACAGTGCGGTCAAGCCATTGGTATCTTCCATTCCAATCCCATATGATAACTCAGTTTCCACAATGTATGTTCCATATTGTGCAATGAAGATCAAGCCCCAAGGCAACTGGAAGAGCAGGCTCCTGGAGCTCTCATCCTTCCAGTCCCTAGCAAAGTGGAATCCTTTAGAACACTGAGATTGTAATTTTTAAAGAACTCCTGAAGCTGAAGGTGTTGCACTAACAGAGCTCCTTTGCTTTGCCCTAGATACTCTGCCTTATTCCATACGAGTGCTGTTTGAATCCAGTGTCCGTAACTGCGATGGCTTCTTAGTTAAAGAAACAGATGCTATGAACATCTTGGACTGGAAGACAAAACAGAATAATGTTGAAGTGCCCTTCTGTCCCGCCAGAGTTGTTCTTCAAGACTTTACGTAAGTGTGTGCATGCTGGAACCACTGACTCAATCCCTGCAGCCTCAGTGGGTTGTGCATATACAGTTCCTTGGCTTGACAATAAATAGTACTGAAGCATCAGTAGAAACCTGTGCACTGCCTGTGTTACCCAGTAGGCTTCTCATGCTAATGCAATGTGATTTAAGTGTAGGAGTTCCACAGGGTATCCTGGTTTCAGCACAGGTTGGTGAGGCTGAAGCTGTTGGCCGACAAGGAGCACTGGGTAGGATAAGAGCCAAAACACAAATCAAAGTGGTGACATTTTGGCTGCAGCCAGATGGCTGACAGTTCTCCAAAATAAATGAGGTAACTGCAGATTAAATACTGCTGACTCCTCATATATTTATCCAGAAGTGAGATGATTAAAAAAGGAACTGTGGTATTACTGAAAATTAGGTAACCTCTGCTTAGCAAGGAAAGTCAGGAACATTTATATAGTACTGTGGTATATAAACATGTCCTCAGTTTTCTACTTCAGATACACTTTATTTGATAGGAGCAAGAGTATTTCCATCCAGTACTATGAGCGTCATAAATGGCTTTGTAAGGAAGGTGTTAAATGTCCCACATGCTCATTGTTTGCATAGCAAGGTTCTGTTGAAAAGGTAGTAAAGATCTAAAAATCAGTTCTGTGTTAAAGTACCATCACACTTAAGAAGCATAGCAAGACAAGAGAGGAGTGTAATCCTCTGAGGTGTTCCTGTACTCTTGTTGGGTATGTTATATTCAAGCCTGCTGTTGGTTTTTGTGAACAAGTACCAACTCTTAACCTAAATGTTTCAAGTTCCTTAGAATTTAGAGATTAGAATAGTAGGGGTTTATTACTGCAGTAGAACTTGGGTAGATGTGGACTTGAAGTGGAAAAAAGCTAGTGTATTTTAGTGAGTTGATGTCCTGTGTTGTTATACTATTTGGTTTTTCCATCTCTTAAGTGGAATTCCAGCAATGGTGGATTTTGCTGCCATGAGAGAAGCTGTGAGAAATGCTGGAGGAGATCCTGCGAAAGTCAATCCTGCCTGCCCAACTGATCTCACTGTTGACCACTCTCTGCAGATTGATTTCAGCAAATGGTAACATAGCGCATGTTTTTGGATGGACTATATGTGTCTGTGTGGTACTGAAGTACAGAGTCACTCTGGTCTTGGTACTATCCCATCAAATCCTTTGTCCTGTGTGGATCCTTGATGCTATACCTGATGGTGTCTGAAAGAGGGCTGGATGAAAATGGATGAAGTAACACTCCTGAAGGAGAGGAAGGTTTTGGCTTGGGACTGAAGCTGTTTGACAACCCAAATTCTGGGTTAAAATAACTGGTTCTGTCATGGTTTCCAGAAAATATGCCTGAAGAGAATGAGGCAGAGGGAGTTTGTCATTTTGCTTTACCCTGTTTTTACTGTTTATGTTAAATCCTTCTGCCTTGTGACTGCCTTGTCACAGCTCCAGAGAATGGCTCATAATCCTGTAGGACATACTGAAAGGCTGTCATTTCAGCCCATAGCTTAGGACTAATTTAACTTTTCTTATGGGCCTGCATTTTACCACAGATTAAAAAAGGCTGCAGATAGTTGCAGTTGTGTAATTGTAGGAGCCTGGAAAAGTATTGGAACTGGAAACGTGGTTTTCATTGTTCTGACAGGCAGTAATGTGATGAAAACAGCCTAGGGCTGCCTTTTGCTGGAAGCATGATACTGCAGAAGAGGAAAAACTTGAGTTCTGCTCAGTGCTGAAGCAAACACTAAGTAAATAATGCAGCTCCCCTCCGTTGTGGAGCCTTTCAGACTCATGCAGAATTGTATAAATTGCACAAGCTCTTTGGGAATTCTGAAAGTGGGAAAAAGCCTGTGGCCAAGTGGACATGGGTGTGTGAGTAGTTTGTGTAGACCTTCCAAGCACAGAGGATTTCAGTTTGGTCAGTATTGGAAGAGTGAAGAGCAAGAAGCTGCAGCTCGCTGTTGCATTGCCTATGTGTTGTCTTTGTTGCATGCTCTGTCCACCCTTGTGTCTGGAGGGACAGCTGATTTGATTGCAATTAGGCTTGCCTAAAATTCTCAGAAGGACTAAGTGCTGGCAAAAGGTCTCAACATGCTGCTTCGTAATGATAAATCCAGCCTCTGTAGTTTCCGTGTTGGAAGGCATGCAGGATCTTGGCAGCTGCTGGTCTGTGATAAGAAACCCTTTGCTACAGGATGGTTTGTGCTGCTTTTATGTGGCTTCCATGTCCTGTTGGTCAGGGGAGGCTGTCAGACTAGGCTAGGATTTAGACAAGGCCATGTAATACCCTGCAATTGGATAACTGAGTATCTTTTTCTTGATACTAAAGCAGGAGCTTTAATTCTGAATCCTTGAATTGGTGAATATTGAGAGGTAAAAAGTCATCAATGTTTCACAACAAGCTTTCTTTGCTCTCATGCAAAGACTGAATATTGTACAAAGAGAGGGTAGCATGCTATATGGACTTGAGTTGTTAAACCCCAACAACTTTCCTATCTTCTTACTTGAGCAGTGCATGAAATTTATCTGAGCCTTTGGGAATTTGTGTGAAAAGCCTAATTAAATAATGAAGTTTTTTTTCTTTCCTTGAGAAAGCTTTGTTTGCAGTCATTCCTCTGTGGATTTAACAGAGCATGTACAGCACTATCTTAAAAAGAAACATGTTCAGTACTGAAGTCCACTACTTGCATGAGGCTATACCTACCTCAAAAGGTTAAAACTTGCTTGCAAAGATCTCTGGTGTGCTGTGAAGGAGTTAATCTGGTGTTAATCTTTTGGACAGTCCAGTTCTGTTCACTTACTACCGGACTGTTATTTAACTGAGCTTATCCCATGTAGTTAACTTTGCAACAGGGTTGTTGTAAAATAACAACTTTGTCAGATTGTATGTTGTGTTGGGAGGCTTTGCAAAAGACAAACAAAGAAGGAAAAGGAGGAAAAAGCCTGACGTCTGAACGGCTCCTGTGTTTGCTGTTGCAGTGCTATCCAGAACGCTCCGAACCCTGGAGGTGGCGACGCGCAGAAGCCGGTGGCGAAGCTGTCCCTGCTGAAGGTGCAGCCTCGGAAGGTGCCCTGCAGGGGTCAGGCCGGCTGCAGGGGGCCCTGTGGCTCTGGGGAGGCCGCTCGCAGCCCGGGACAGATCGAGAACACGCCGATCCTGTGTCCCTTCCATCTCCAGCCCGTGCCTGAGTACGAAACCTTCCTTGTAATTATTTGTACCCTTCTGTGGTGGTAACCACTGCGTGTGACAGTTCAGAGGTGGGATTGGCTTCTAAACACCCTCCTGCACTCTCTTCACGTGTGCTGTAGACAGGTTTCAGCATCTAGAAGCAGGTCTGATGTAGCAGATTTGTCTGCAATCATTATCTTCTGTATTTTTCAAATAGGGCTTTACTAAACATGGTGCAGATGGCCAGCTCTGTGGCTCATGGCTGTGATCTGTAAATTGAATTTGGAGCCTTCCCTCGTTTCTTTATAGGGACAGCAAAGCATTGGGGCAATCCTGTGGCTCTTACAAAGTAAACGTCAGTGAATAAGCATTGATTTATTTCTAAAGGTAATTTTTAAATTGTTCTGTGAGACCTTTTCAAAAGCCTCTGGCTGTTAAGGAAGACCTAAGAGCTAGAACTAGCCTGTGCATCATACCCCAGCTTCTACAGTTCATCTGCCCTTGAGGTGAAAGTCAGTGAGTATCCTGCGTGTATGTAATGCCCCAGGGGAACTTCATCTAACTGCCTTCTTCAGGTTTCCAATATTATTAACAGGTCATTATGTACAATTCCATCTATGACAATTACATGTCATCATCCTCCTCTTTCAGCTGCGCCTCTTTTGTCTGCTGGCCTGCTCAGATCCCTATCTTCCTGTGCTGGACAGGTGTTGCATTTAAAAACTGATCAAATCTGTATCCCACAGTGATAGGATGCTGATTGTTGTGGTGGTTTTATAGATATGCAAATACTCCTGCTCAGTACAGGTGTGGGAATGCAGTATTAGAATCTCTTCAGCAATATTGATGATTCTGGCAGCAGAGCAGCAGTGGTATTAATTAAGCTGCAGTGTGATTGATGACTGTCCCTCAGGGCTTTGCAAAGCAGGATAGCCACTAACCTTCTGTCACTGCAGAGAGGGAAGGGACATGATGTAAAATACACCTCTAAAAAACTGAGGGCTTCCTTCCTAGCACAAAGCAAGTGTATTTCCTTCCTTGTCCACCCTCTTCAAGCAGAGGTTATTCCTCTTAAATTGTGGATTGCTCCTTTATGAGTATCAGTATTGTAGTAAATAACACTTAACTAAGAAAAGACAGCTCATTTTGTGAGACTGTGCTGATGAGTACTTATGAAGAAAAAAATTATGTGGAGGCCAGAAATATGTGAATGGAGGATAGTTACAGTTGCCCTGGTGCTCTGCTCAGTTGCTAAAGGGCCAGTACTGAATGCAGAGTGTATTTTTACATGAACTAGTGACCATCTTGGTTCTTTACTGAATTTTGAATTTGCAACCTCTAAGACTTCTGATCGGGGAAAAAAAGAAAAGCTTCTGTGCACTGAAGTGTATGCTTGCTAGAGATCTCTTAAAATGAGTATTTTTGAGATCAGATACTATAAGCAAACTATACCCAGAGTAAACATGTTCTCAAGGACAGCACAAATGAAATCGGTTATTCTTCACTGTTCAGAGAAAGCTTGCTGCAAGGAAGGAATTTTCTTTGTTCTAATAAATGACTTCAAATTGTGCTGCAGGCTTATGTAAGTCTTTCATCAAACAAGCAAAACCAACACCTTGTTTGTCTGTAATTTAAAATAAATTATGACAGTGCTTGTAAATTTGATACCTTCCTAGGCCTGAGACAGTGTTGAAAAATCAAGAGATGGAATTTGGCAGAAACAGAGAGAGGCTTCAGTTTTTTAAGGTATGTGTGTACCTGTGGGCTTTGTGTAGTGTGTTGTGGTTGTCTGAAGAGCTTGCTTCATTTGTCTACCAATGTTCATATTTAGATGATAAATGTGGTAATTTGGAAATGTCAGACACTCAAATCTGAATTTAGTAAGGGAACAGAAGATTGGCTGATAACATGGTTTGTGACTTTGAATCTAAAAACCATTATGCAGCAGCAGCTCTAAAGCAAGGTGTCTTTTAAAGGAGAAATAATCTTTCGTAATTCTAACTTGAAAAAGTTTTCCACTGATTTGGCTCTTAGCAGTGTTAATGAAGTGGACAAAGTAGGTGTTTATGAAGCATTAATCTTTTTAATGCTTTTTCATGAGCTCCATGCCTTAGATCCCATCTGTACTTCTGTTACAAATCTTACTGGGGTTGGAGATGTTGAGCAGAGGCCATGTTGAGACATTGCCCCTCTAAGGGTGCAGCAGTGCCAGTAAACTTGCTTTTGGTGCAGATCTTGTATGGTGAACATTTGCTTCTTTGTTGCTAGCCAGGGGTCTGCAACATGAGCATTTGATCCTCATCCTCTGGTTTCACATGGTTTAGGGATCCAGTGAAATGACCTTTTCATTTGGGTAGACTGGGAGGTTTCTTCTCCGTTATTAAAGAGGGAAACTGCCACACTGAATCTTGTTCTACTTTTCCATGTTAGCTTTTTTTAATCGAGCTCCTGAGTTCAAGGCACTTTCCTAGTTTGCATCTTCAGTCTCATCCAGGAATGTAAAACCTAAACCAAATCCTGCAATAAATAGAAGTGCCTATGTTCTGTTGAAATATTGGTCTTAGCTGGGCTGGCGATCAGTTGTGTGAACTGGATGGTAAGAGATTTATGCAGCCCAGCTTTTGAAAGGTAGGTATGAATTATTGATTTAGTCTTCAGGGGGAAAAGAATGCTTGCTTTTGCATTAGGTGATTAAGAATTTCCAAGTCACAGGGGATCATGTACCTCTGTTTGACAAATGAGCAAAAGGCACTTGCATAAATAGGAAGTACTGTGTTCTTGTGTATTAGTCTTGTCTTTTGAGTTATGTTCTAAGAATTGAATATACCTTTGGAATAATGGAATTCCTTTCTTTTTTTTCTTTTTTTTTTTTTTTCCCCTCTAATTCGGAAAAACTACAGTGGAGTTCCAAGGTTTTCAAGAACGTTTCCATAATCCCACCTGAGACTGGAATGGCGCACCAAGTTAACTTGGAATATTTGTCCAGAGTTGTTTTTGAAGTTAAAGACTTTCTATATCCTGATAGCGTGGTTGGCACAGATTCTCATACAACCATGGTAAATGGCTTGGGTATCTTGGGCTGGGGTAAGTATGCTAAGAGTAACTTGGTAGCCCTTTGAAGTGTCATAAGCATTGCTGAGAGAGTATTCTTCCTACTGGATGCCTCTATCTCAGACATAACAAACTGTCTTGAATTGTTGTTCAGAATGCTTGTTGTCTAAAAGGAATCCCAGCTAACATTTTTTCCATTAAAAAACCTGCTTGTTGTCAATTTAAAGAGAAAATAGCCAAAATCCAATTGATAAGTAAGTGCTGTTAGTACATGCAGTAAAAATTCTGTATGGTTTCCCTTGGAAAGTTACTTTTAGACATAAAGTATTCTCTGGTTGAGTGTGAAGTCTAACTTCAGCAGTAGTCTTGCTTTGTTCTATTTTTAATGTATAAACATTGGCTAGAACTTGTGCATTTCTTGCTATAGCCTGGTTGCAGATAGAACGATGCACTTGACTCAGAGAAGCAGCAGTGTTTATTGTTGCAAGCCCTTAGGATTAATAGGAAGATGTTTATTAGAGTTTTAGGACCTCAACATATTTAGTGTCAGGCTGCTTTTCATTAGTTAAGTAACCAGTGTTCCCGTTCCAGGTGTTGGGGGCATTGAAACAGAAGCAGTGATGCTGGGGATGCCACTTACTCTCACTTTGCCCGAGGTTGTTGGGTGTGAACTGACAGGCACAGCCAGCCCGCTTGCTACATCCATAGATATTGTTGTGAGCATTACAAAGGTAAGAGTTTGATGCCTTTTCAAACAAAGCAAAGCTTGTTGCCAATTCTGCCATTGCTGTCTGAGAACTTAATTAAATGCTGGGGGTATTTTTTTAGTATATCTTTAATTATGGAGGTGCAGACAGATACAAATAATCCCCAACCATTTTTATTTACTAGTCCTCCAGAGTAATGTGTTTAGGGGTTGGTGTCGTCCCGTCACCCGTCCCCCCCCAATGGTTTATTTACAGGCCCTCTTTCACTAAAAGAATATATTAAGTACCTGTGCAGGGTAGGGGCAGGGAAGAGAAGCCCTGTTTTCCCTTTTTCTCCTGCTGGCTTCTTCCCTAGCTTAAAAACTTTCCCTGGATACCCTTTTCATTCCAAAATATTCCTGCAAGACACAAGTCCTGTCTGTGACTGTGAGCTGGTGCAACTCCAGAACCTGTTTTGTGAAGATGGGGTTTTTGCCAGGGCAGTGCAGGCTGCTGCTGTTGTGGTAGGTGAAGAGCATCAAAGCACTGAAGAGCAGTGAATGCTTTGAAAACTCCATTCTCCTTGTGCTGGCATGATGCCTGAGGAAGGGTGTATCTGCTCTCCACTAGGAAATCTGCAGAATTTGCTTGCGGATGGAGGTGTGGGGTAGATGTTTAGAACCCAGTATGTTAAAGGGGCTTGGGTTTTGTTGGAGACTGAGCCTTAAAGTCCACCATTTAGTTTTAAATGTTCATGACTAGCTAGTTGCAAATTGTTGCAGTGAGCACTGCTTGCACTGTAGCTCTTCCCATAAGAAATATCGTTGTGTCCTCTCTTAAACAGCATCTTAAGCAAGCTGATGTTGCTGGAAAATTTGTGGAGTTTTTTGGGAGTGGAGTTTCCCAGCTCTCTGTAGCAGACCGAACCACAATAGCAAATATGTGTCCTGAATATGGTGCTATTCTGAGCTTTTTCCCTGTTGATAATGTGACACTGAAGCACTTAAAGCATACAGGTAAGGTGACCTTAAAGCAGCAATTCATTGTTTCTGTGTTTCAGATATGTGGCAATGCATTTTTTTTTTGCTTGAAACGTCATAGTTCTTAAACAGGGATTTTCTACAGAGTTCTGACGTGGATTTGTGGTCTAAAAACGTGCTGTACAGTAACAGGCTGTTTCATTCTCTTGCCCAGTAGAATCTCAGGCATCTCAGTAATACCTACCACAAATTGTGTGCCATACAGATTTACTGCTGGCTAGTTCTGTGGCACACTTAGCCGATGGTATTTGAGTCTGAGTTATGTACCTGCTTTATCAGTGCAGATGTTTTCTAATGTGGCTTATTTTGTCTGTGAATCCCATGTGTTGAAGTGGGGAAAAAAAAAAAACCATGTCATTTTTCAACATCCAGAGTCTTTGTTCTGAAAAGCACATGTAAGCCTTTAAAACAAAAGGAAATTCTCATTACAATATATGCTATATATAGGAAGAAAATTCTCGTTCACATTGATGAGCTTTTCTGAAACTGAAATCTGTCACTTGGAAAAATAGGAATTACACATTTTTAATTGCACAGCAAACACATTTTGTCTGCTCAGGGCAGCACGAATGCATCCTTTTCTAACGCTAGCCGCTACTAGTGCCTATTGCCAGCTAGGCACATGACCTGTATTCAACAAGTAAATCTTAATGGAGAAAAGCCTTGTGAACATCAGGGGCAAATCTGTAAACTTAGAGCTACAACTGCTGGAGTTGGAGCAGCATATTTCGGTCCTTGCTATAAGAAGGAAAGTTAAGCTAATTGTGCATAATTCTTGACTAGCTCCTGGGGTTTGCCAGTGGGTGTGGAAGTGGTGTCCTTGGAAAACAGTACTTGGGATGATTGTGCTTAGTCTGATTTTCTGAGAATTGTTTGGTTGGTTTGTTTATATTTTGTAATGTGACTTTTCTCATGTTTGAATTACCTTTCTCAAGGTTTTGACAAGGCCAAGCTTGAGGTCATGGAAGCATATCTTAAAGCTGTGAAGTTATTTAGGAGTGATGAGAGTTCTTCCGGAGAACCTGAGTATTCCCAGGTATGCTTGAAATGACTTGGTTCTCATAATAAGTAAGTACTGCTGCCGTAGCAGATTTGTCTCCTTCTGTAATTTTTATTGCTTTAATAAAAGCTGCGTTTATAATAGTCACAATTTTGAGAAGCAAAGTATGTTGCAGGATATAGAGCTGATGGGAGAAAGAAGGGAAGCACAATACAGTTCATGGCAACTAACAGGTACAGAACTGCTGTCACTGCTGAGTGATGAGGTAACTTACAGATGGCAGAAAAGTTAGGGGTAGTGTTAAGACATTTTGGGTAAGTAGAGGTAGCCCTTTACAGTGGGTGGGCTTGATAAGGGGAGCCCAGAGTTTTCATGTCTCGGAACACTCAAATTTAAAGTAAAAGAGGTCCAGGTGTCTCTCATTCACTGTACTGTTGGGCTGGAATTGATGCATGTTTTCTCTTTGTTTCTTATATTTTTTAGGTAGTGCAAATAAGTTTAAGTTCTATAATTCCATATGTCAGTGGCCCCAAGAGGTCCCAAGATAGAGTGGCCGTTAATAACATGAAAAGTGACTTCCAAGCCTGCTTAAATGAAAAGGTTTGTACAACTGATGTATTCTTCAAAAGGTACTTCCTATGACCTACGTGAATGGTATTTGTTACTCAATTCCTTGCATACCAGCTGAGCTGTCCTGATGAGTAGATAAACAGCATATCCAGTAATATTCTTTAGCTTGACAAGTGTGCTGAGGATAGTAGCTGGTAAATCATAGGTGTGTTTGTCAGGAACATGAACTTAGAAAAATCCTTAATTTCACTATTTAGATTGCTAAGGAGGATAAACCTTTAAGTGATAAATCAAATCAGAATGATTTGGGTTGGAAAGGACCTTAAGATCATCCGTAACCCCATCTGCCATGGGGTTGATAGCAAAAATAGCATAAGCTCAGGAAACATTTACTCATTTGTAGAGTTTTCAAAATGGCTTTATTTTACTTTTATTCCAAAACAATTGCCATAAGAAAAGAGAAGTCATCATAGCTTAAAGGTGATGCCTAAAGACTGACACAGTCTGTAGCTAATAGGTGTTCTGAATTCTTAACTTAGGAAATGATTTTTCCTCTCAACTTGACTTCCCCAAGGAAATATATTTACTCTGAAGGTGGTATTTTTGGTTAGGGATATGCATATGTAGCTGAGAATGCAGCTAACACAGGAAAGCCTCTTCATTTCTAGTGTTTATCATGAACTTGAAGACTGACAGCAGTATTAGAAGCATACACTGTTAGACACTGCAAAAATACTTTCTGTTGGTTTGAGCACTTCTGGCTTGTAAGGAGATGTGTAACACAGAATGGTCAGTTGTGCTAGGGAGAGAAATGGTAACGGATCACAGATCAGAGTGTCGTTGAGGTGGAAAGGGACCTTTGGAGCATGACTGTGTGCTGAAGAGCTGAGGGTGTGCAGTGTTATTCACCTAGTCTACTTTTAGTTATCATCAGTAAAAATCTCAGGTATTCCTCTAATTCAGAAACAAGTGTTGTGTAGTAGACATGTACTTGCTGGGGATTGTTCTTTCCTGATGAGCAAGGAATGTGTGGGATCAGCCATGCTTTGACTGGCATTTGTTTGCAATTGTTGCGAAGTTAAAGCAGTTATGAATTAAGAAGGATAAGACCACTGTCTGGATGGAGAGAGGCATGAACTGAGGGTGGCTTTTAAAATCTCTTCAGGTGGTTCCTAGTGGGACAACTGAGTGTTATCTTAAAGTGAGGGTTCACTTGATCTCACTGTAATATCGTACTTCCTGTGCTGTAGTAACTGCTAATGTGTGTGTTTTTTCATCTAGTCTGGTGTTAAAGGCTTTCAGATTGCAGTTGAGAAACAGAATGACATTGTACCTGTTCAGTATGAAGGAAATGAATACAAGCTATCTCATGGCTGCATTGTCATTGCTGCAGTAATCAGCTGTACAAACAATTGTAATCCATCTGTCATGCTTGCTGCAGGTATGTTTAATTAGTGACTGTCTGGATCCTAATGGTGCCTCTCTGATTACACAGTCTTTACCTTCAATTGTGCAGATTCTTTGTAATGACTTGACCTAAAGGTTTGACACTAAACTTTCAGCTTTAAGCTTGCTGTATGTTCTGGAGGTTATGTAATGAAAGTTACTTTTCAATAATAGAATCCCAGAATTTGTGACGTAAACCAGTGTTAATGATAGTAATGACAAAATATTTATGTTGGGTAGTATTTCAGCAGGTCACCAGTGTCAGGGCTGTCTTCAGATGGATGAATAATTGATGCAGGAGCTGCCTAGCAGTTGGTCTGTGCTGTAGTCACAGGTTAAGGGTATGTGCCATACCTCTGCAAGCTGTCCCAGAACAGCTACTCCTCTGTCAGACCCTGCTTGCTTATTCTGAGGCCCTCTGGGCCAAGGCAAGCTTCCCTTTGAGGCTGTGTGGCCTGTATCAGAAGAATAATAAATGGATTTAACATTGCCAACTAGAACATGGGAAAGAGATGTTTTTCTTGCAGAAAAGAAAATGGGCATTGACATTATAGGAATGGGAACAAAAACCTGAATCATTGTTATGAGTTAAACTTTATTCAGGCAAGTAGTTGCTTGACTAACAAACTGAAGGTTTACTAATCCTCTGGGGGTGTATGCTTAATTTAAGGTAGCATCATAAAGATGTTCTTTTAAGGGATATACTAATATAAGGTGCTTTTTTTTCTGTAGGACTTCTGGCAAAAAAAGCTGTTGAAGCTGGCCTAGTGGTTAAGCCCTACATAAGAACAAGTTTATCACCAGGCAGTGGAATGGTTACACATTACCTCAGTTCAAGTGGAGTATTGCCATACCTCAGTAAGCTTGGGTAAGTTGTGACTCCCACTTCATTTGTCACTTCAGGACAATAGCACACATGGGGCTTATACAGGCTGATAAATATGATGGTTGTTCGTTTGGGTGGCTAATTCTGAACTTACTAGGTTGTCATTTTAACTACTAGCAGGCTTAAAGTTGTATTTTATTCCCACCTTACAATTGACTCTGTAGATCTCTACCTCCTCTGAGCTCTGTTTATTCAGTAGTGATCTACTTAATTGTAATTGTCTTACAGGGGAGGATGCACTTATTGCTGTATGTTAAAAGTGGAACCTGGATGTAAATTTATTGGGACAATCTGTATTAATCTTTTCTTAACACTGCTGCTGTCGTGGGTTGCTTGGCCTGGTTTTGATTGCTTTGTAGCAGTAACTAGAGTATGTGCATAATTCTGTAATGGTGCCTGGCTCTGTTCTGTGGGGATTGTTACTGCCTTTGCTTTGCTGTTACTTATGGAACAACATCTTGAGATGTTTTATTTGACTTGATTGATTGCAAAAATGTTGCCTTGTACTCTCCTGCTTGCATCAGTGAGATGTGGTGTCTGCTGCTCACGTCCTAAAAGGTCTTAACTGTCAGAGGAAAAAAAATCTTCTTAATGATGGCTAATGAAAGAACAGCTGCTTTGCTAACAAACTGCTTGTAATCATTTAATGTGCAACTTGATTGTTCTTTTCCAACGTAGGTTTGAGGTTGTCGGTTATGGGTGTTCGACATGTGTTGGAAACACTGCCCCCTTACCAGAAGCCATCAGGAATGCAATCAAGCAGGTAAAGCTCTAAGGCTTGATGAGTACAGAAATGCACTTCTCACTGAGTGCAAAATATACCTTATTGTTGGTTTGGTCTTTGTGTGACATTTTAGCACATCTGCATGTCAGAGACCATGGCAATTCATTGCTATGTAAAATAAATGTAATAGTATTTGTAGTATACAGATGTAAATTGCAAGATAAATGCATAGGATTAATCTTATGGAGGAAGCAATATGTAGATTTTGTTTTGTAAATGGGTTTTAAAGATCTGTGTGTGTGAGTTATTTTAACCAGCAGTACCTAAACAGCTGCAGCATCCTTCTGCTGTGAAGAAGGAAAAAAGAATGCAGGAAATAAAAGGCAGGGGAGGAGTTCAGTGAAGTGACTGGAGAACACATCTGAGGGTCAGGAGTGAAAAGGAAGGAGGAAGGGTGGTGGGAGAGCAAAATGCCTTTCAATTGAAGTGTTAGAATAAATAGTTGAAGTGGAATGGTAAAAGCACATCTGACTTAGTCAACAAAAAATAACATAAGCTGTTGAAGTACTGCAAAGTCGTGTAGAAAACCAGCCATGGTTCTGCCTTTCAGGGGGATATAATTGCCTGCGGAGTGTTGTCTGGAACAAAGAACTTTGAAGGGCGTCTCTGTGACTGTGTCCGTGCCAACTACCTTGCTTCTCCACCGCTAGTAGTTGCTTATGCTATTGCAGGCACAGTCAGAATAGACTTTGAAACTGAGCCTTTGGGTAAGTATTTCCATACGTCTTCTATTTCTGCATCTCATGTATGTGTAGAAGAGGTTTCTGCATCTAATGCATATGCAGAAGAGGTTCCTTCACATGCATTTCAGCATGAAGAGTAAGCACAGTTGTGTTTGGTGTTGCTCATAGCTAAAGCAAAGCATACACTTAACTGATAAAATTCTTCACATATCTGGTACCATCTCTGAATACCTGAATAGAGACATATTCGTATTCTAATAGAAATATGAAGTCTAATATTCTGCACAATTACTGTTCTGTTAAATCTTCCTTAGGCACTGGCTTCAATGGCGAAAACATTTATTTACGAGATATTTGGCCCACCCGAAAAGAACTTCACACTGTGGAGGAGGAGTGTGTGATATCAGCCATGTTTAAGGAGTTGAAAGAGAAAATGGAGGCAAGAATGGTCTTTTGTTCTCCATAACTTAGATTGCATTTCATGTAGCTTTGTAGTTTCTTCCAGCTGAATCAGATTGGTTTGTCAGTTTTTTCCCTTACTGTAAAAGAGGACTTAACTGAGATGGGTACTTGTATTAAATACTGATTCTTAAGTAATATCCACTGAGGTTAACTTGCAGTATAGGGTAGAAAGAAACCCACCAGCAAGTCTTTGGTTTCAGAATGTAAAAATGATAAACCAGTTTCTCTGTTCTTTTTGGTTACTTTTTTGTAGAAAGGAAACAAACGATGGAACCTGCTGGAAGCACCTGAGTCAACTCTGTTTCCCTGGGATTTAAAATCTACTTACATCAGATGTCCTTCCTTTTTTGATAAACTTGTAAGTACATTGCATCTCTCCGCCAGATGATGTGTATTACTCTTCAGTAGCAGAACAGTTACTCCAGTAAAGCTTCGCTCTTAGAGTGACTAATTTGGTTATTAAAATTTCTCAGTCTTTAAATACTGCTTGGATCTCTGGAACAAGTGGAGCCTGTACATCATTGCCTTCATATATTGCAGATATGGCTTATGCATATAAAGATTTTGTAAGAAAAATGTTCCTTACATTTTTACTATTGTCTGTCTGTCCTTCCCTCCCTGCCTGGCCCCTCTCTTTTCAGGCCAAAGAACCAGTTTCACCACAACCAGTTGAAAATGCCCATGTCTTGCTCTATCTGGGAGATTCGGTAACTACAGATCACATATCCCCTGCTGGAAGCATTGCAAGGAGTAGTGCTGCTGCGAAGTATCTGACCAACAAAGGGTAAGGACTTCTCATATTAACAGCTCTAATTATATCAGAGCACTGCTTCCCATGCCAAATAATTGATCAGCACTGTTAGCTGACTGCCTAAAGTGGAGATTACACATGGATAAATGAAGTAGTAACTGTTGCTTGTGTCTGTAAGTTTTAAAAAGAGTGAAGCCAGGTTTTCTAAATGAATGTGACTGATGCTGTAACTCACCTCTGCATCAGTGTGCATCCTGCAGCTGGAATTCCCAAAGACACGGAACACAACACGGTGCTGAGCTGCTGCTGAATGGTTTGGAAATTATATTGTTGCATTATATCGCAAAGGTGTGTAATTATTGCAGTATCAGTGAAGCATGACAAAATAATAGCCTGTGGTGTGGACTCCTCCGTAACTACTGCATTCAGTCTGAATGAATAGAATTATGAGCAACAGAGGAAGACTTAGTGGGCCTCTAATCCCAGGATGGTCATTTGATTTGGGAGTAAAGCTCTCATTTTGGTACAACGCTTGTTAATAAATATGCTGGTAGAGCTAAGAGGATTAGTAGACAGGCTTGTTTCTTAGATCAGTCTCCCCATAATTCTCATGTAGTTTGTACCATCTTGCTTGTAGCACTCCATAAAAATGTCATAAATTAACATAAAATTGCCGTTTTCTTCATGGGTAATGTAGTAATGGTTTACACATTTGGTTTATGATTTCTTATAATTGCATTTGTTGGAGAAATAGTTACTTACATCTTGCATTGAAAACTTGGAGATACTGCAGTAATTATTATAAAAGTCACAATATAATTGTAAACCAGATCACCTTCAATTGATTCCCTTTTCAATGTTCTTATTATTCTAGACTCACACCTCGTGAATTCAACTCTTACGGAGCTCGAAGAGGTAATGATGCTGTGATGACAAGAGGTACCTTTGCAAATATTAAGCTTCTGAATAAGTTCATAGGAAAGCCAGCTCCCAAAACAGTTCACTTCCCATCAGGACAAACGGTAAAGATGTGTTTGTTTACAGAGTGACTCTGAACATGTGCAGCAGGTTTACAGCTCACTCACACTGTTTCACTTGCTTACTCCACAGCTAGATGTGTTTGAAGCAGCGGAGCTCTACCAGAAAGAAGGCATCCCTGTAATTATTCTAGCAGGAAAGAAGTATGGACTTGGTAGCTCAAGAGACTGGGCTGCAAAAGGGCCTTTTTTACTGGTACTGCTGGTTTGTTTGACTTTGGGGAGTGTCTTTGTGTTACCTGGAAATATCTAAAATCACATTGTTTAGTTTTGGGCATAAATGTGTTCAGAAACTGTCCTCAATCTTGAAAATAAGATCACATTTTGGTTTTAAGACTTCTCAGTAATGTCTTTGCTGGAACCCTCATAGAAGAGAATCGCTAAATCTAAATTTCCTAATTAACTTCCTGTCTTAGACTCCAGACTTGGAGATAAATTATTTCTTTATCCAGTGTCGACCTCTTTTTGGTCTCCTTGGGGTACTATGCATCCAGCTATTGGAGACTGATTTCCACTAGTACTCAGAATATTCATGTGGAGTAATGGAAGCAACTGTATCTTGCCTGGGACCCCCCACCTGCTAACCCCAGCATGGTCACTGTCTTAGAGCTCCATCTTGTGCTCTGTGGGCCTGCTCTGGTTCATTTGCTTTCATGTAGCTGTACAGCTGAAAAGTGTTACCAACTTACTTATGTACAGGACTCCTACGAAGCACTGCTTTACTGTTCAGTTTGAATTGCAAGATGTTGGACATAATGTGTATTTGAAGCTTACTTCTGCGTTTTGCTGACTACCGTACTGAAATACAAAATCACTTGGGTTTTTTGCAGGGTGTTAAAGCTGTCCTGGCTGAAAGCTATGAGAAGGTTCATAAAAGCCAGTTGATTGGGATTGGCATAGCTCCACTTCAGTTTCTTCCTGGGGAAAATCCAAGTACTTTGGGTCTCACTGGCAGAGAGCAGTTTTCTATATTGTTCCCTCCAGAGCTGTCACCTGGAATGACTTTGGATATTAAGGTATCTTTGCAGGATTTCTTTTATTTCTCTTTTGAATGTACTGACAATTGAAAGCACAGAAAGAAGTTAACTGATGATGGAAAACCAGATAAAAAACCAAAACCTAATTTAAGCAAGCTTATAGTAATTTGCTGTGGTTATTGAAGTTTCCCGAAGTACTGTAATGTGAAATGATTGATTGTTCTTTGGGGCCTTGTTTACCAAACCCTGTTAAGGTAGACTTGAGTCATGTGTCTCATTCGTGCCCTTTTCAAGACATGGGTGTGAGTATTTGAGAGAGGCTTCAGCTTTCCATTCTGTGTAAGAAGACCTGTAGTAACACATGCTATGCCCATAGTAACATGCTTTGTACTGTCTTAGGGAAATGGCTTTCTCTTTGTCAACAGCAGGTACGTAGCATGCTCCCAGCTGGATCTGCACTATGGAGTAAAATGGGCGTTCATTCTGTTCCAGCAGTGTCTTGGCTCTGCAGTGGCAGATAGGCAGGGTGAATTTGCTTGTGTTCATCAAAATGTGGGGTTAGGATGTGAACTGAGAACTGAGCCAAGGGAAGCAAAAGCCAAACTCTTAACTGGTCTCTCTTTTTTTGCTTTTCTTTTGAAGACAAGCACTGGAAAAGTATTCAGCGTGGTTGCCTTGTTTGAAAACGACATGGAGATAACTTTATACAAGCATGGTGGAAGTCTAAACTTTGTGGCTCGGAGATTCTTGTAGTAGACTGACTGACTGATATGGGTACCTTGCATAACTGGTAATGCTGAAACTGCCTTGTGTGAACCCAGGAATCTGTACTGTGGAACTGCAAACAGTCCTAGTGTGCTCAAAGTTACTTCGTCCATGGATGTAAAAGATTGTGAATCATTGTTACTGCAACAAGATCCTTCCTGATTTTAAATAATATTCTAATGGTGCTATTAAACATTGCTAAAATCAACATGTGTGTTGTGGCAGAGAGCTGTAAGTATGGAGGGGATGTTTTATCAGACCATTTTGTAAATAAACGATGCAAAATCTGAACCTGATCGTGCCGAAGGTTATTATGTCAGGAGACTTTGTGCAGTTGTTTCCGCTCAGTTCTTGCACCTGTAACTGTGTACTGTTGTGTGTTGGTTGTAGGGTAGCAGATGGTATGGAATGGTAAAGGCCACACATCACTTTATTGTCATTATTATTTATTTTTGCATCCAGAGCTTAAAGCAGACCCTCAGTTTTGAACTTGCACTATAGGTTATGGGAGTGCAAAAACGCAGTGCACATGAGGCCTGTGGTATCCTGTATTGCAGATCAGAACTTCCTTACCTTTAGTATGGGATTATATTTCATCTGAACCCAGATGTAAAACTGCTCATGCTATGAAATACTGTGTGCCTAGAAGTATGGCAAACATCTCTGCATTCAAAAACATGTTCACAGTTACTTTGCTCACACCAGTTAAGTGTAGCACCCCGGCCTTTGGGAAGCTGCAGTATCCGATTGAAGCTTGTCCCATTTCCTTAAAGGGATGCGGTTTGTCCTTTTGTCACACCAGTTGTTACTGTGCTGTCTTCAATATCATTAGGCAAAGTACCTCTAAAAACATTAGGACTGTTTAAATTCTTGTGCTTTAAAGATGACCCATGTCTAATAAGTTATAGTTGAGGCAGCCATTCTGCTTTATCATCTGCTGTTAGTTTACGGCTCTTCCAAACAAGCATCAAGTTCCCCTGCTGAAATCCCAGACCACTGAACAAACCTGGCTCTTGTGCCATCGCAGCTTCCATAAATGTAATGGTCAGCACACTGATGAGAAAAGCCCTGTTCCTTATTGACTACTGACAGAAGATGCACAGTGTCTGCACAAGTGCTTGTTTTACCAGTTACCTAAGCACTGACAGCTTCTAATCTGCCCAAGTGAGTCTTCCCTGTTTCTGTGTTCCTGTATCTTGAAAAGCTTCATGCCACCACTTAGGATTTACGGAGATTAATTTCTTTTGAAGGACAAAGCTGCAGTAACTTGATTAGAAAGTGTCAAGCTTTAAGACCTGTCATTCTTGATAAGCATGGTCTTAAATATCAGAACTTCCAAGAGAACTGTATTTAGCTTACCTCTGCTTCCAGTTTATAACCAGACATGAAGGTAGTAGATGCACCATTCAAATCTTTAAATAGTGTGTTTCTGACATTCCTTAAACCTGACCCTGCCATAATTACATGGTCACAAGACATTGTTTTGTGGCAGTTCAAATGAATTACTTTGACTTCACTGGCATAACCGTGATACGCCTTTTTTACTTTATTGGACAGAGTTCCCTGAAGTTTCAAGTTCTATATAGTCTGTTTCTGTATTTCACTAGTTTTGCTGTGGTTTTCTTTTAGTCCAGATAAAAACATTCCAGTGACTCGTACCACTGATTCGGATGATGAATCAATGCCTTTTTAAATACCGTGTTCAAATGGATGCTGAATGAGTTTCTGTTGTGTGGTACACATGCTAATTTTATCCAGAGTTATTGAGCAGATCTTATTTCTTGCACAGCAGTGTCTAACACTATTCTTTTCCCCAGCTCAAAGGTATGATTCAGTTCAAGAAACTGTTTGTTACTGGGGAGCAGATAGGAATTTGTTGCTGGCACAAAATGTTGCTTCGTGCAGATGATGAATAAAACCATGACAAGCCGTTGGAAACACGTGTGGTGGCTGATGCTGGAATGGAACACAGCCCCTGCCCTCTCTAGTGCACTGATATGCTCTTGCTTCAGGAGGAGGCAGTGATGCAGCCCTGTGGAGGTAAAGCAGTTTTGTGTATTTTAGTGCAATTTCATGAGATGTCACTATCCATAAAGCTAGTCATCTTTTAAAAACACAATGGGGTTCATAACCATAGCAACTACTTTAATTTTGCTGCACTCCTCTGTCTTAAAATCAGTGAAGGACCCCGTTGGAGCTGTGCTTTGGCACAGTTGCTGTTCAGCCTCAGGCTCCTGCTGTGGTTGTTGCAGGGGGTCCAGCCCTACATATGCCCAAGTGAGTGGCACCTTTGGCAGGTGTGCATGCTGCCTCCCCCCTGTCAGACCTGCACACCTGAAGTGTGGGTGCTGTGACGAGCAGCCCCTCGCAGGTGCCCATCACCCACATAAAGGTGACACTTGTGTGCCTGTCCCCTTTCCCGTGAGCACTGTCCACCAGCCCTGCAGCCAAGGGGAGATGTTTAACTTTGGACACACTACGAGGACCTGTGAGCTTTAGCTGGGCAGGAGTGATGCCTACTTTCTGGCAGTGGCAGGGTATGGTACAGTCAGAGCAGTTGCTGTGATCACACACAAAAACCCCAGTGTTCGATTAGACCTCTATGGTATCTGGCAGCACAGGAGGAAATGTCCCTTTCTGAGGGTACGACTGGTGTGTTGGGTGTATTTAACCTTGGCTTCTCTCCATTTTGATTTGGGGAAGAACCTGTTCCTGCTTTTCTAAATGTCTTCTCTCCTTGCGCCCCTCTCCTTCCATCCCCCTCCCGAACTATGAAGCTTTGGGAGAGCATTGATGTTTATACATTTTACACCTAAGTATAAGGACATGAAACTATATATATTAATCATATTTAAGCAGCTGCAAACCAGTGTCTGCCGTTTAAAGCCAGCAGAACAGTGTTTTAAGTTCAGTTAAGTATTGTATAGATATATCTTAAGTTCAACTGATGACAATTGTGCATAAAATGTTACTGATGCTGTAAATTATTTTTAATAAAGAAAATTGTATCACACTTCTTGTATGTTACCATCTGGTTTGATTTCATTGTATAAAATACACTTAAAGTGGTGTGAAAGGGTGGGGTGGGTAAGGAAAAGAGAATAACTGTGTTGTGTTTTCTCCTTGAGGAGTGTCTTACGGGCTTCCAAAGTGTGTTTAGTTGCTGTAAGAAGATGTGTCCTAGGTTGGCTGAGCTCCAGGTACCAGTCTATTATAACTATATCAGGTGCTTTTTTTATTAACCTGTTTGTTCTTCAGGAAGATGTCGACTTTAATGTAGACTCGAGATGAGATCCTGTGTTAAAGCCAGCTGCTGACCAGGAGTATGGTTACGGCACGTAGAGCTCACCGCTATGACAAGACCTCCACAAGTGATCTGGGCACGCCTCTGAAGACTGCCTTTTAGCACGTGAGACGCTCAGTTACTCAAGTCTGATCTTTCTTACAGCTAAGGGCGAGGGGCCAAAGTCCAGCCTCAGTCCTGGGTGTTGTTGCCTTGCAAGGGCAGTGAGCTTTCCCCCGGAACACCGAAGCACGGAAGCCTGTAGGTACGGAATCTTGGCACTACTGCCTGGATGGCAACAAAGGCGAGCCTAGTGAGGTACCAGCCTGCCACGTGCACCCACGGGTTGCTTACAGGCAGCAGGAGTGTATTCAGTTTGTTCTGTAAAGTGCTACGTATCAAGTCCGTAACAGCAAGAACGCTTTCCTGCTCTGTCCGTTTTGTTCCAGTAAGGCAAACCATCACCAGCCTTGGGGATGGAGAGAAGGAGCCTTAATATTTACTGGAGCTCCTTTATTCCTGAGACACACCGGTGTGATTTCTGGGGGTGAGGGGCGAATGAAGTGGTGAAACGTATTGGTTGGTCAGGCACCTTCAGTGATGTGCTGTGACACTGGGAACAGGAAACCAAGGAACTTTATTTGCTTCCCTTTTCTAAATTCCCTATTGGATAAAGCAAGGTTTTCAATGTAACATCCTTGTTATTACAGGTATTGCTGAAATTGTGGCTGGTTTACTTAAAACCAAGAGTTTTTCCCCTTTTTACCCTCAGATTCCTCACTCTGTCCTAGCTGGATCTCAATTATTGCAGATTTCAGAAATATGCAGTAATTAAAGGTAGAGATTTGTGCATCCATCTGGACAGTTAATGTGAAGTGTGGGCTTTGTACGTACACATAATGAGACGTAAAGCTCTCCGGGCCTGGGCCGGTCTTCCCAGTGAGGACTGTGCTACAGGCTAAAGGCTGGGCTCAGCACCGGCCTTGTGCTTTGACCCCTCCGCTCATGGAGGGATTTAAACGGGATCATCCCCGTGGGTCTGTGGCAGCGGGAGCCCGCTCCTCCCCGGGCCCTGCGCCTTCCCTCTCCCGCTGCCTGGAGCCAGGCCGCTACGAGGGGTGTCCGGTTCCTCCGCCGCTTCCCGCGGGCCAGGCCGCAGGGTCCATGGGCCCGTCCGCCTGAGGCGGCTCGGCCGAGAGGGGCGCTGCGGGCGGGGGGGGCCGCGCAGGCCCCGGGGCTCCCCGGCGGGGCAGAGCTTGGGGCGGCTCCCGCGCGGTCCAAGGGTCGCTGCCGGGGCCGGGGCCGGGGCCGGGGCTCGGAGCTCAGCAGCCGGGCAGGCGGCAGAGCAGGAGCGGCAGAGAGCGATCGAGCGCCCGTGGGTTCGTTGTGCAGGCCGCGGGCGGGCGGGCGGGAGGAGCCCGTGTGCTGTGAGGGGTCCTGAGCTGCGCTTGTCTCCTGCAGGTGCGGATCCAGGAGCTCCGGGCAGCGGTTCGGCAGCTCTGGCTCTCGGGAAACCATCCCTGGGTCGCAGCGTGCCGGGTTAGGCTGCGACTGCAAATTAGCTGGGGTAGAAAGGGTCCTGATTAATAAGCTCCTCACGTCTCCCTGGTCTGACCATACTGAGTGCATTCCTATGGAAGGCTTTGGGGGGGGGGGGTACAGAGTAAGCAGCTGGCAAGAAACTGCAACGTAAGGAACCCGGCCTGGCTTAGTGGGTGCTCTTTGCTTGATTAATAAATGCAGGAGGCTCTTCTCCCAGCCCTGAATGTGCTTTGTTGCAGTGATTGCTGCTTCTGGTGTCGGAACATGGATGAGAGCGTCCCGCTTCTCTTTCCCTTCTAGAGACAGGATGTCCTCTGGAAACGACCGTCACCTGCAGGTATTCACCAAACCAGCCCTTGGTGAAGGAGACGTGCCTGCGCTGGTGGACAGGGTGTTTGGGTTGAAGGTGTCTCGGGTCAGGCCGCTCCCCAGCTATGACGATCAGAACTTCCACGTGTGTGTCCCG